GGGCGTGTGAGGGGAGGTGGGAGAGGGTGTAGGAGGGAGAAAAAAGTGAGGAGGGGGGGCATGGAAGATGAGGGAGGGGGTGAAGGAGGGTGAGGAAGGTGTGGAAGAGAAAGTGAGACTAGAAAGAGGGTGTGGGAGCGAAGGAGACACAGAGAGAAGAAGGGATGGGGGTGATGAAGATGGAACAAGGAAGGAAGGAAGGAAGGAAGGAAGGAAGGAAGGAAGGAAGGAAGGAAGGAAGGAAGGAAGGAAGGAAGGAAGGAAGGAAGGAAGGAAGGAAGGAAGGAAGGAAGGAAGGAGATGCAAGAATTCACGGAGAAAAAGAGTAGGGAATCCAAATCGACGTAGAAAGGAGAGCAGCGGGAAGGGAAATGGAACAGGGGAAATGTTCAAGGGGGAAAGAGAAAGCTTGGAAAAATAGGCAATGAGGAAGAATACGAACGACACAAGATTCGTTAATCAAACATCTGGGGGGAAGGGAGGGGGGGGGGAGGGGGAAGAGGAGATAATCACAGTGATTAATATCTCACGCTAATCATTATCGGTTAACGCGAGTAAAAGACTCATAACTGATGGCACAATTTTAGGCTTAATTGATAAGCTTATTGATAAGGACGTCACGGGGGGATTATGGGATCTGTGTAAGCTCAAGCATTCCCTAGAGCTGTCCGCTAGGGGGCCGGTCGGCCGAGCGGACAGCACGCTGGACTTGTGATCCTGTGGTCCTGGGTTCGATCCCAGGCGCCGGCGAGAAACAATGGTCAGAGTTTCTTTCACCCTATGCCCCTGTTACCTAGCAGTAAAATAGGTACCTGGGTGTTAGTCAGCTGTCACGGGCTGCTTCCTGGGGGTGGAGCCCTGGTCGAGGACCGGGCCGCGGGGGACACTAAAAGCCCCGAAATCATCTCAAGATAACCTCAAAATATATGTGGAAAGGGTCAAAGATGCACATAGTGGACTCAGGAACTGAAACCCCAGTAACATATATAATGTTGAATCAATCAGCTCTGAGAACATTAAGGAACAGTTATATGAAAGGGAAACAGGGGGTTCAAATATATGGCGTTAAACTTGAGTGGGAAACCCTTGTGAGTAGTGCCTAAGGGCTCTGCAATGGGACTTCTGTTCTTTCAGTATATTTAAACCATTTGGACACAGGATTGTATATGAATATATTCTCCAAGGGGTGTGGAAGCTCCAAGGGCTTCATGTAAGACACAACGAAGTTAATGCCATCATCAAGAGGAGCTTTGCGTCAGCTCAATGCCTAGCAGAAAGAGTATTTACATTTACTTGAGGTGAACTGTAATAGCTATTTGTTGGACCATTCCTTCAGTTGGTCTGTCATTTTGTGCGCGTGCGTGTGTACTCACCTATTTGTGCCTGCAAGATCGAGCATTAACTCTTGGATCTCGCCTTTCTAGGCATCGGTTGTTTACAGCAATGACTCCTGTCCCATTTCCCATTCATATCTAGTTTTAAAATTATGAATAGAGTTTGCCTCCACAACCTGCTCCTTAAGTGCATTTCATTTTCCATTACTCTCACGCTAAAAGAAAACTTCATAACATCTCTGGGACTCATCAGAGTTTCCAGCTTCCACCCATGTTCCCTCGTTCTGTTACTATTACATGTGAACATTTCATATATTTCCACTTTGTCAATTCCCCTGAGTATTTTATACGTTCCTATCATATCTCCCCTATTCCTACTTTTTTTCTAGTGTCGTAAGGTTCAGTTCCTTCAGGCGCTCTTCATATCCCATCCCTCGTAACTCTGGGACGAGCCTCGTCGCAAACTTCTGAACATTTTCCAGTTTCCTTATATGCTTCTTCAGATGGGGACTCCATGATGAGGCGGCATACTCTAAGACTGGCCCCACGTAGGCAGTGTAAAGCGCCCTAAATGCCTCCTTATTTTGGTTTCTGAATGATGTTCTAACTTTTGCCTGTGTAGAGTACGCTGCTGTCGTTATCTTATTAGGTAAGAAGGGAGAGGGGGGACATGATAGGAACGTATAAAATACTCAGGGGGATTGACAGAGTGGACATAGACGAAATCTTCACACGAAATAGTAACAGAACGAGGGGAAGCTAGAAACTGAGATGAGTCACAGGGATGTTAGGAAGTTTTCTTTTAGCGTGGGAGTAGTGGAAAAATGGAATGCACTTAAGGAACAGGTTGTGGAAGCAAATACTATTCATACTTTTAAAACTAGGTATGATAGGGAAATAGGACCATAGTCATTGCTGTAAACAACCGATGCTCGAAAGGTGAGATCCAAGAGTCAATGCTCTATTCTGCAGACACAAATATCTGAGTACACACACACACACACACACACACACACACACACACACACACACACACACACACACACACACACACACACACACACACACACACACAGTGCGTGCGTGTGTGTGTGTGTGTACACTCGCCTATTATTTACTGCAGGATCGAGCTTTACCTCTTGGACCCCACCTAAATATTTAAAAAAATGTGTATTGTTGACATATTTTTTTAAGAATAACGATATTGACCATTTCCGTTAATGACGGGATTAACGTCATTAACAACATTAATGACAACTTGACACCATACGGAGAGTTATGAGAACAACCTGTTACCCGTCACAGCCAACAACTCGATAATATCAAACTATCGCAACGTTTCATTATGACCTAAAATTGTTTCCTGTTGTGAAGCCTTTCACTGATATAATTATATGACCCTGACAAAGCACTACAGTTAACTCATTTTGTGATAATCTCTCGAGGAGTCAACAGAAATAATTGCTGTTACGCTAACAAGTGATATATTGAATATCAACAAATACATCAGACTTTTTTCAGTTTCATTTACCATCACAGATGAAAACTGCATTGTGTTATTATCAATGAAGAAGCAAAATAAATTAGATTGATTGAAATGCGAGTTTTCATAATTTTAAAAGCCTTTCTAGGATACAAATTTAGTCAATAAATCAATATTAGACACAATATAGACGCCAAAGCCAGAGTCGATTCCACAGAGCGGAACACCAAACGCGGGAACAAACGCGGGCGTCGTCAACACGATCCGCCATTGTGGAAATATTGTAGTTTTTCTTCCTCATCCTCGATATAATCATTCCATATAAGACAACTTATTAAATTTGCTTGTACCTGTATGTACAATGTACTCTTGTACAACGTACTTTTGTACAATGTACTTTTGTACAATGTACTCTTGGAAAGGGGACGGGAATGGTATCAAATAATATATACACGGAAGATACTTGAAGACCAGGTCCCAAATTTGCACAGTAGAATAACAACATACTGAAGCGAAAGATACGGAAGGAAATGCAGAAAAAACCAGTGAGGAGTAGAGGTGCCATAGGCACAATCAGAGAACACTGAACAACAGAGGTCCACAGCTGTTCCACACCCTCCCAGCAAGCATACGAAATATTGCTGGAACAAAGGTGGATGTATTCAAGAGGCACTTAGATAAGTTTTTGCAAGAAGTGTCGGACCAACCAGGTAGTGGATATGTGCGGCCTGCGGGCCGCTCCAAGCATCAGCCTGTTGGACCAAGTTATCACAAGTCGAGCCTGGCCTCAGGCCGGGCTTGGGGAGTAGAAGAACTCTTAGAACCCTCCAGCGGTATTTTGAGAATGTGTCATGACCGCTGAATATTAAAGTTGAATATCAGAAAGATTATCCATATTTTGAGAGTGTGAGATGTGATACTTTAAAAAATTAACACTTTTGTTGCTTTTACAACAGCCCGTTCTCCCGAGCGTTCCCAGCGTTACTAAACTGTTGTACTGCCCGAACCTAACCTGCCCGAGGACCCACCAACAGAAAACGGGACATCACGTCAGTTTCGCTACCAATTATAGCGCATCAGTTTTTTTGGCTCTAAGGAATATATACGTCAAAATGCGACGTACTATTCAGGAGAACGGGTTGTTTACAGACACCTGAGGACCTTAAATTTTAGATATAAATACAGAGCGGTTAAATAGACCGGAGACTACCGGCTATAATGTAAATGTTTATACAAAAAACAAAAAAAATCAATGTTGACAATATGACATTGATAATACTGATATTGATGACAGCCATTGTTTCTTATATTTCAAGTTTCATCATCATCATGTTCTTCATCATATTTCAAACTTCTTTTCGCATTGACACTTAAAAGAGCAGCAGGTCCATTTGTTTTCAACTACGTAGATTTTTGCTAATAGACATAATGTTTACAGACCATCTTGACTTTACATAAACCTAATCTTATCGTTATGATACTAATTAATTGTGGAACTTTACTGTCTATTATATGTCCATATTCCAACCAAATCTGATGACTGCCAACCAAATCTGCCAAACCTTCAGTGAAAGTCTCTCTATACTGGGCGTTGTACCAAGACATGCTTCTCGGGCAGAGTGTCATAAAGAAGTACAAGGCTTTTTACACTTAAGATTGACCTTTGATTTTTTATTGTATTGACGGAGTTGGCAGTAGTAGGTCCCAACTACAGTCAAATCAGCGACTGCTCAACAATTATCATCATGTATGATTAGTTAGTAATATAAGATATTTTTACCACTATTAAAACAATGTTGGTTGATATTGTAGTATGGTTATTAAAGCGTAGGGTATAAAGAGGTGGGCCAACGTGAACTGTGAGGTAGGGCTGTACACACACAAACATTTTCAATCTCGCACGTAAACACAAAAGTCTGTGTACACAACCGGCACCACCACCAATTTATTCGCGATTGTTTACTCCCGTTGCCCCAGCTTTACTTTGTGCTAGAATGATATGTTGCAGTGAAAAAATATATACAAAAGCTACATTGAGAACAAAAAAGAATACTGCAGCTTACCTTTTGTTAGTGGTATAATGACCTCTTTGTGAGTAGCGGTGCGCAACTATTACTCTCGAGAATGAACTACTCATAATCACTTTTGATAATATACTCTGAGGACGAAAGAGGCGTACTTACCCTTGTAGTAGTAGAGGCAGTACTCTGATAGGACGAACCAGCGCTTCTTCCAGAGGTGGAGGCCGTCGGCGCCCTGCTTGTAGAGCCAACCCTGGAGCGTCACCGCTGCCACCTGCGGCCGCCGCACCCCGGGAGTCTTCACCCATGACCCTCCTGTCCGTCGACGCCCGCCCTACAGGAGGAGACCACATGTTACTCGCGCCCCGCCACACAAATGCTGCTCCAGGACGAGGAGGCTAGGTAAGGAGGAAGAGGTCGAGGGGATGAAGATGAGACCGAGAAGATAATATATTGCAAAAATAAATTAGCAGGACCCAAGGAAGCAGGAGGAGCCAGGTAGTTAATGTTTGTGCCTCATTAACTGGGGAGAGTCAGGGGAGGTAACTGGGGAGGGTCAGGGGAGGTAACTGTGAGTAAAATGAAGAAGTCAGGTCAAGAATGCTCCCCCGCCCCCCCCCCCTCTTCACCCCACAACTCTCTCCAAACATAGACTCGTTCACTACCACAGAAGTGTGTGAGGACAGTGGTAGGGAGGAGGAGACAGGTTGGCGTGTACCTGGACAAGGAAATTTGCAAAGAGTAAATGGTTGCCTTCAACAGTATGAGCTTAAATAACCAAACAGTATAACAATAAATAAGTCAAAGGTAATCATCTGGAGTCTCCAAGGAAAGGTTATAGGACCATATAGCACTTGGAAAAATGCACAGCCACTTAGATATTGGGGGATCGAACACGGACCATCTTAAAAGCAAGTTCACCTTTATACTGACAAGTTTAGGAAGGGAAGGAAACTGTCAGGAGAAAGTGCAAAGCTATTAAGACTACACAGCACTTGGAAGGGATCAGGATAAGGATTAGGAATGGGATGGAGGGAAGGAATGATGACCAACCACTTAGTCGGTCGGGGATTGAACGTCGACCTGCATGAAGCGAGACCGTCGTTCAACCATCCAGCCCAATTGCTTAGGCTTTCAAGTCTAGGAGGTAAAAATATAATAAAGTGACTAAAAATAAACAAGGGCATTTGAACAGCCGGTCTAATGCCACGCCCGATTGCGAACTGCAAGAACCAACAGTTTGGCAGTTCAAGAGATCTGGTAAGAGACCAATGGGTCGGGGGCAATGAGCTTCGGAACCACCGTAGAGCAGCCACGAGCTAGGTAGGCAAGAATAACAACAGTGACACTGTACCATAACAAGTTAAAAATACACCATGACTGAGAGATAAACCTCGCGCGGCACTGTTACCAGACTGGCGTAACATCACTCTTTTACCAGTTGACAGTTGACATATGGAAGGACTGACGCACGCGCACACAATTAAATTCATTCGTTCCCTCATTCCCTCCCTTTACCGTCAACCACGGAGTCGATGCACACCATGTAACTCAACCATTTTTTTCAAGAGCCATTTTAACAGTAATGCTTAACTCTTCTTTTGCTTTGTTTTCTTTGAGCAGGTATGTGGAGATTATTTCACCATTAGGCAGCCTGTTCAACATAAATATGAGGCAACACCATTGTGATCGCTCTAAACGCATTCTTTAGCGAGGGAAAATGGCAAAAATCAACGTGAAGCGTTATCACTGCAGTTACCCCCTTCAAAAGTGAAAAAAAACGTCTATTTTCTTTCACAGTTCGAGCGCCAAATGGTATCGTTTTCTGTGGTTGGTACAGCCGTAACTGCTGTAATGGATATAAAGGTTGCATTTGTGTTACCTCTCGCTCCGCAAAGCTACATGTACTCTATACAATAGAGGGGTTAAATTACTAGGAGTCACTCAAGAAAAGACTAAGAAAACACAGCACGGGAACAACACCTTGCCATAGTTATTGTTACACAGAGCCCAATAGGCTCCAGAACCTGTACACCAGTTTATTGACAGTGAGAGGGGGGACCAAAGAGCCAAAGCTCAACCCCCGTAAGCACTAGGGGGTTGAGCTTTGGCTCGAGGGACCCCACCTCCACCACGTTACGCGGTAATTGCTTCCACAAATTAACAACCCTGTTTCCGAACCAGTATTTACCCAAATCTTTCCTAAATCTAAACTTATCCAATTTAGTTTTTTTTAATACCATCTGTAACTTCACTTAACAAAGCATTATCATAATTTAACAAAAATATGACCTTTACCACTAAAGTATTTTGGAGAGAATGTAGTATAATAATTCATAATAATATTTTTAAAGAAAGACTATATTTGCATAAATAAATGGTATAAGCTCATCATTTCTTTATAAAGCCGCTAATAACGGCTAATTGGGTATTTATTAAGGTATGTATGTACCTTAATGAGGTATATATAACACTCATTAAGGGGAAATGGATTCAAATCCTTTTTTAAAAGTGATTAGAGTGCTCTTCAAAACAAGCGCTCGCACAATTGTTATGACATAATATCAACACTATAACTTAATTACCTAAATGAATTTTGGGGTTCAATTCCCTAGGCCATTATGTGCCTCTGTAACCTGCGGGCACCTGGTAATAAGAGATGCTGGGACAAGGTAGAGCGTCGACGTGCTATCTATCAACTCTCCCTCTCTCCTGGACCCGGATTCACGAAGCAGTTACGCAAGTACTTACGAACGTGCACATCTTTCCTCAATCTTTGCCGGCTTTGGTTACATTTATTAAACAGTTCACAAGCATGAAAACGTCCCAATCAACTGTTGTTATTGTTATAAACAGCCTCCTGCTGTTTCGGAGCTCATTAACTGTTTAATAATTGTAAACAAAGCCGCCAAAGATTGAGAAAAGATGGACAGGTTCGTAAATGCTTGCGTAACTGATTCGTGAATCTGGCCCCTTGGGGGTCCAGTAACAGAGGCCGTCATGTACATCACAATTGACCCTACATATTATTGGGTTGGCTGCTGCTCTCCGTTTTCTTTCTCGCGGATCCCTAACTAAAAAAAAAAGACCCTAATGAGCGGTAATACTCCTAACTAAAACTACTTTATCTAGCACAATCTCGTGTGGTTTGTACACGGGCCATAAACACATTTTTTCCCTGGCCAAAACGCCTTCCATCAAGAAAAACAATAAATACACTGCAATAAAAGTAATAGTAATAAGCGAGGTATATTGTGGGGGAGTATTTAAGGATGTACAATGAGACACTCAAAGCTCCAAGCCGGTGGTGGTGGTGGTGGTGGTGGGGGAAGGGTGGGGAGGGAGTGCCTGCAGTCAACACCATAATTACACTCGACATGAAAATAATTAACGACGGATTCCTCGTGGGGTGTAGTGTTTCCTGTTGGGGTGTAGTGTTTCCTCCTGGGGTGTAGTGTTTCCTCCTGGGGTGTAGAGTTTCCTCCTGTGCTGTAGTGTTTCCTCCTGGGGTGTACTGTTTCCTCCTGGGGTGTAGTGTTTCCTCCTGGGGTGTAGTGTTTCCTCCTGGGGTGTAGTGTTTCCTCCTGGGGTGTAGTGTTTCCTCCTGGGGTCTAGTGTTTCCTCCTGGGGTGTAGTGTTTCCTCCTGGGTGTAGAGTTTCCTCCTGGGGTGTAGTGTTTCCTCCTGGGGTGTAGTGTTTCCTCCTGGGGTGTAGTGTTTCCTCCTGGGGTGTAGTGTTTCCTCCTGGGGTGTAGTGTTTCCTCCTGGGGTGTAGTGTTTCCTCCTGGGGTGTAGTGTTTCCTCCTGGGGTGTAGTGTTTCCTCCTGGGCTGTAGTGTTTCCTCCTGGGCTGTAGTGTTTCCTCCTGGGGTGTAGTGTTTCCTCCTGGGCTGTAGTGTTTCCTCCTGGGGTGTAGTGTTTCCTCCTGGGGTGTAGTGTTTCCTCCTGGGGTGTAGTGTTTCCTCCTGGGTGTAGAGTTTCCTCCTGGGGTGTAGTGTTTTCCTCCTCCTGGGGTGTAGTGTTTCCTCCTGGGGTGTAGTGTTTCCTCCTGGGGTGTAGTGTTTCCTCCTGGGGTGTAGTGTTTCCTCCTCCTGGTGTAGTGTTTCCTCCTGGGGTGTAGTGTTTCCTCCTGGGGTGTAGTGTTTCCTCCTGGGGTGTAGTGTTTCCTCCTGGGGTGTAGTGTTTCCTCCTGGGTGTAGAGTTTCCTCCGGGGGTGTAGTGTTTCCTCCGGGGGTGTAGTGTTTCCTCCTGGGGTGTAGTGTTTCCTCCTGGGGTGTAGTGTTTCCTCCTGGGGTGTAGTGTTTCCTCCTGGGGTGTAGAGTTTCCTCCTGGGGTGTAGTGTTTCCTCCTGGGGTGTAGTGTTTCCTCCTGGGGTGTAGTGTTTCCTCCTGGGGTGTAGTGTTTCCTCCTGGGGTGTAGTGTTTCCTCCTGAGGTGTAGAGTTTGGTATAGAGTTTTCACTTGGGGTATAGAGTCTCCTCGTGAGGTATAGAGTTTAGAGTGAGAGCTGCACCAACGTGGACGCACCTGTCACGTGGCAGGAACACGTTCATTACAGGAGATTGCAAGGCTTATTTTGCTACCCTCATAAGGTCTGTAGGACGAGAGTTGCCGCAGGTAACAGCCTGGTTGATCAGTCCAGCAACCAGGAGGCCTGGTCGACGACCGGGCCGCGGGGACGCTAAGCCCCGGAAGCACCTCAAGGTAACCTCAAGGTAAGGTAACACGTCAAGAGGAAACATTACGTGAGCGAATGTGTTTCAGGGGCTCGAGTGGTAAGGTAATTTACCATCGTCGAGCGCTACGATAGTATGCGTGTACAACCACTTGGTAGAAGATACCGGCATATGATACGGCGGAGTGAAGGAGCCGTGGCCCACCAGCTGGACTACCAGGGGGATCAAATGCTCACCCTGCAAGAAAACCGGAGCCGTCGTGACGCGAATGAGTATGAAGGGAGATCATTAAGTGTGTGGCACACTAAAACAGGTGTGTGTGTTTTTTTTTTTTTTTTGTGTGTGTGTGTGTGTGTGTGTGTGTGTGTGTGTGTGTGTGTGTGTGTGTGTGTGTGTGTGTGTGTGTACTCACCTATTTGTACTCACCTATTTGTGCTTGCGGGGGTTGAGCTTTGGCTCTTTGGTCCCGCCTCTCAACTGTCAATCAACTGGTGTACAGATTCCTGAGCCTACTGGGCTCTATCATATCTACATTTAAAACTGTGTATGGAGTTAGCCTCCACCACATCACTGCCGAATGCATTCCATCCGTTAACTACTCTGACACTGAAAAAGTTCCTTCTAACGTCTCTGTGGCTCATGTGGGTACTCAGTTTCCACC